TCTACAAAACAGAATACAATAAAATTTGAAGCTGGTTTTGTGTAGCTTTCCAGACATTTCCACTCTCACCTATAATGTCCAAGATATGTTCAGGAAACAGGTTACTAAACATCTGTTACTTGTTTTACAAGGCTCCCACCTTTGGGCATTAAACCTGGGGGCCAAATTGGAGAACTTAACTAACACTAATTTGACCTCATTCAGTAACCATCATACCAAGACTGAAGGTAGGGGAGACATTTGCCTGCACTGCTTCCCTGCCCCCCAACCCCTAATCCCTCTCTGCTCTAATTCATTGTCTCCCGCCACCCCCCACAGGCCATTTCTAGGCAGAAATAAGTGAGATATTGAACAGATAGTTATACATGTGACCATGCATATGAAATCATCTGTCTGAATTATGGATATTAGAGTGGTTTACAGTTTGGAGCTATTATGTCTAAAGCTACTCTGAATTTTCAGCAGAAGCTATGGCACTGACATATATTTTCATCTCTTTCTTGAATTCTATTGTTCATAGAATAAGTGTGTGTATAACTTTACAGGAAATTACTGAATTGTTTCTAAGTGATAGGACCATTTTATACTCCCACCTGTAATGTGTGAGAGTTCAGTTGTTCTACGTTCTTGTCAATACTTGGTACTGTCAGGATTTTTGATATTAGACATTCTAATGGGTGTGTGATTAGTTTGTAATTGTGGCTTTTTCCTTGTATTTCCTGATGACTAATGATGAGTGCAATTGTGCGGTAGTTTGAGCATTCTTTGGGATTGCCTTTCTTTGGAATTGGAATGAAAACTGACCTTTTCCAGTCCTTTGGCCACTGCTGAGTTTTCCAAATTTGTTGGCATATTGAGTGCAGCACTTTCACAGCATCATCTTTCAGGATTTGAAATAACTCAACTGGAATTCCATCACCTCCACTAACTTTGTTCGTAGTGATGCTTCCTAAGGCCCACTTGACTTCACATTCCAGGATGTCTGGTTCTAGGTGAGTGATCACACCATTGTGATTATCTGGGTCATGAAAATCTTTTTTGTACAGTTCTTCTGTGTATTCTTGCCATCTCTTCTTAATATCTTTTGCTTCTGTTAGGTCCATACCATTTCTGTCCTTTATTATCTGTGTAACCAAATAGAATCATAAATTCTATTATGCTTATTAGGGTATGACCACAGGCCTATTCATAACTGTCCACTGTTAACTACCTAGGCTTAAGGCATATGAATCACAGGTTAACTTTGTATCTTTCTTTTCCTTTGTTGAGACTAGTTTCAGCAAATTTGGGGAGGTGGCTTTGGGCTCATACACTTAGGCTATATAAGGTTTTCACAAAAACTGGTCAGCCTTGGCTAAAAGGAGACTCTGCCTTGGGCCTGCTGGTGTAATAAACTGCACTCTACTATCTGCATTGTCCTTCTGAGTGAGTTTGTACGCATGGCTACAACAGCACAATTTGGTCAAGATGTTAAAACTTGTTTATTGTAGAGCATAGTCAAGAATTAGATGGCATATAATCATCTAATACTTTTTATAATGAGTTAAGCAGTAATTCTCTTTCTTTACTTAATTTTGCCAAGAAAAAAGATCTTGTATTCAAACAAACCTGGTTTTGAATCTTAATACCATAAGTTTCTAGTGAATTTAGGAAAGTTAGTTAACACTTTTATTATTTTCTATACCTTGGAAATACGAATATTACCTTTCTTCCAGGATTGTTGTAAGATTTAAGTAAAATAGTGAATAGAGGGAGAGATTAAACATGTGACTGATACATAGTGTTCAATCAATGCCATTGATTGTTTTGTTAACATTAGAGGAGAGGAAACATGCAGTCAGGGATTTAAGCATTTGGACTTAAGCAGTTGGATATAAACATTTAGTTTCTTTGAAGTCTTCTGTTGAAGTTTAAAACATTGTGTGCACTTTTATTTTCTCCCATAGCAATCTGTTTATGTTGATATAAAATCTTTCTCCATCAAATTGTGGTACATATTGACCCTCCAAGAAAAATCTCTGTGGCTTTACACACGATCTAGAATTCTGCTTCATACCACCTGGGATACCATGCATTGGAAAAGAGTGCTTGAACATAGAGAAGAGCTCATCATGCAGTCTAAATAAAACTGTTGTTTAATATTAATGTAACATTCATGTTTGTGAGATACACCCTTTATCTCTAAAATAAAAAGACAGAAACATCTTAATATTTAGCAAATAATAGACTATTATCTCATATAAGAAGCTATTCCTCAGTAGGCTTTTACAGATGAGTGTTTTGATCCACTTATATAAATTCTTGTGAGCTGAGTTTCAGTGACCTTTATTAATCAGTCATATTAAATCCAGGGGTATGCCCTACAAATATATACTTGGGACAGTGTAGGTACGTAAGCTAAGTTCAAGTCTGAGCTATTGAGTCCTGGGAAATATGAAGTATCATACGGAGGATGATATACTCAGGGTTATGGTTCTAGTATAAACACACACACACACAGATAAACATTCTTGGTGTTTTTTCCCCTGAGGCCCTTGTGTTTTAAATGATTTTATTTAACAGTATGTTTTTTGANGCCAAAGAATTGATGCTTTTGAACTGTGGTGTTGGATAAGACTCTTGAGAGTCCCTTGGACTGCAAGGAGATCCAACCAGTCCATCCTAAAGGAGATCAGTCCTGGGTGTTCATTGGATGGACTGGTGCTGAAGCTGAAACTCCAATACTTTGGCCACCTGATGTGAAGAACTGACTCATTGGAAAAGACCCTCATGCTGGGAAGGATTGGGGCAGGAGGAGAAGGGGACAACAGAGGATGAGATGGCTGGATGGCATCATCGACTCGATGGACATGAGTTTGGGTGGACTCCAGGAGTTGGTGGTGGATAGGGAGGCCTGATGTGCTGTAATTCATGGGGTCGCAAAGAATCGGACACGACTGAGCAACTGAACTGAACTGAACTGAATGCTGATGAGCACCTTTCATGGGTCGTTTTCCATTTACATACCTTCTTTTGTGCAATGTCTGTTCTCATCTTTTTCCATTTACCAGATTGTCTTCAAGAGTTTATGTCAGATTGATATTACTTTTTTCCATAAATATTCAACAGAATCCACCAAGGAAGTTATCTGGGCATAAAGTTTTCTTTGTGAAAAGTTTTTTGATTATGGATTCACATTCTTGAATAGATGAGGCATTGTTCATATTTTTGTTTCCTCTTGAGATAATATTTTGGTAATTATGATATCAGTAATTTTTGTTTTTTCTCATTTTTCCATAATTAGTCTTGCTAAGAGTTTATCATTTTTGATAATCTTTTCAAAGATGAAATGTTTGTCAATATTCTATTTTCTTTGTGTTGATCTGTGCTCTTATATTTATTTTTTTCTTTCTATTCACTTTGGGGTTAATTTTATTTTCCTTACCTAAATTCTTAAGGTTGACACTTAGATAACAGATTTTAAATCTTTCCTTTTTTAAAAAACTTTGTCAGAGTTATAAACTTTTCTCTAAGCATTATACCTATTTTTTGCATATTCTGATATGTTGTGTTTCATTATCATTAATTTTGAAAGGTTTTCTGATTTATTTTTAACTCCTTTAATATGTTGATTATTTTAAATTGTATTGTTTAATTTTCAAACATTTGAGAATTTTAAAATATCTTAGTGTTACTGATATCTAATATAACTCTTTTATGATCAGAACACACATTTTTGTCAGTTTGCAAATTTTTACAGTTTATTGAACTTATTTATGGTTCAGCATTATGGCCATATCTTGATGTTCTTCTGCTATCAAAATAAATATGTATAATACAATTGAATAAAATGATCTTTCAGTTCAATGAAGTTGATGGGTAGAATTTTTCAGATGTTCTATATTCTTACTGATTTATTGCATACTTAATTTATTTCCTGATAAAGAAAGAAAGAAAAGAAAGAAAGTGAAGTCACTCAGTCATTCCCAACTCTTTGTGACCCCACGGACAGTAGCCTGCACCAAGCTTCTCTGTCCATGGGATTTTCTAGGCAAGAGTACTGGAGTGGGTTGCCATTTCCTTCTCCAGGGAATCTTCCTGACCCAGGGATCAAACCCAGGTCTCCTGCATTGTAGACAGACACTTTACCATCTGAGCCACCAGGGAAGTCCATTTCCTGATAAAGCAGTAATAAAAAATAAAACCCAACTTTGTTTGCTAATTCCAACATACAGGTGGCCTCAGGATCTGTTTGTATTAACTATTTTTTCTCTTGACAACATTTTTGTTTCTTCACATGTACAGTAATGTCTGACTGATATTGGAAATTATAGATGACATGTTGTAGAAACTAGATTCTATTTTCTTTCTCTAAAATAAATTGATATTTGGTTTCTAAATGATCATATGAAATATGTAGTAAGCCTTTCTACACTTTGTTAGATTGGATTTGTGGAAGGTCCAAGGTGTTTCCTAAGCTGTTCAGGTAGATCTGTCTCCCCTGTGGATATTGATGAGATAGAGTTTTACAGTTGATAGACAAGTATAATGGAAGTCTTACTGCAAGTTATGGTCCTTTCTCTTAAGACATACCCTTTCTGGTGTTTCAGTAGTGTCAGTGTTGTATATTGTGATATTACCAAAATTTCTCTTGTCTGATTGAGCCAGAAATCCAAAATTAGCCAGCACTGCTTGATCTCAGTATCTCTGGCTCTCAGCCTGGTAACAGCAGCCTTCTGGTAAGCCTTATGTATTGCTTTGTGCATACGCAGCCCAACCCTGAACAAAGGATTTGCGGGGAAAACACAGTCTTCCGGGTCTGTTTCTCCCACACCCTGGCAGCTGTCTGCCTCGAGGACTCAGCCACTCAGGTTTCAGCAGCTTCAACTGTCTCAAACTCTGATCCCTGCCTCCTTGGACAGCAAAGCAGCTGTGCTTACTTGGGCGCCAGCCCTTCATGTGAGTCAGAAAACTATCCTCAGACAGAGTTCCAAGGTATTTATGGTGCTCACCTCTGGACTACTCTTCTTTCAGAGATTGCTTTCTTGTGCTTCTGTTGTCCATTGTCTAGAAATGATTGCCTTGTATATTTTGGCTGGTTGTCTCTGGAAGAAGACCTGGTCATGATGATGTTAGAAGTTGAGGTCCCTAAATTCTTTCTAGGGAGATTTGTCTGTTTATCTCCTTACCCACCAAGTGTTAATTTTCTCTCATTCATTACAATTTCAGATATTTTCTTAAGTCTAGGAACTATTTATTTTTATATTTTTAATTAAAAAACTAGTTTGTTTTTGAATTCTTATGTGCTTGATTTTAAAAATGAAAACCACAGGAATATACATATAAATGGAAAATAAATGCCATTCATTTCAACAAACTCTCAATCAAAGCATAAATAAAAGACATTATTAAAGGTCTTAATGTCTGTTCAATTTGAAAATCCCCTTTTAAATATTGCTTGTCAGTTAGTAATATATGTGGAGGTTTCTTTTATGAGAACATGGGTAACTTTTAAGCAAACAGTACTTTTTATGAGATTTTCCCTTTAGTCTGGTTTCTTCTAACTAATGGAAATAAAATTATCATTACAGTAAGCCGGAAGGCTGTTTCCAGTCCCCAGAGGCATGCTTCAGAAGCCTTGTTGAGTTTTATACATTTGGTATAGCCAAGTGAGTCATCTGTAATATGTTCAGTGTCTGCTGGCCTGGGGACTGAGAGTCTGCTGACGAACCTTGGCCTCTCGTTAACAGAAATCAGCCCTTGAATTCAGAGTTATTAATGACACACATTAAGCATCAGTTTCCATTTCCTTCAGGGAAGAGAAATCTCCTGGACAATTTGGACAGTGTACCTCATTTATTGTGTTAAATGTCTTTTTAATAATGATGGCTTACTTGTTCATTTTATTCAAGGTTCACAAGTTTGAGAGAGTTGTATGTTCTATGTTATAAAGAAAAGATACCAATAAGAATTTTGATAGAACTTGGGTGAAAAATAAACCCACAACTTAAGTCATGTCATCATCAGCTAACCAGAATTTGATGGTAAAAGAAATAGGTTTCTAATTCCTCTTGTCTGATTTATGCTATAGAAAACACAGCTTGGCATTAAAGTCTCTTTAAAAAGCAGAACAGTGATCAAAGGCAAATAGTTCCATATTTCCTTACTGTATTTGCAGGGTCATTTTTGTCCATTTTCCCATTTATTTTTGTTTTTGTTAATTCTGTCATCATCATCATGCCATCCAATTTATATTAGATGCATCTTTAGATTTTATTTCAATAAGTGAAAAAATTCTTCACAATGAATTGTCACTCTTTCATTAACACTCACACTCCACAGACTGCACGGAGTTCTTGCTGTACATTTCTATCCACTTCATTCTCTCACCCCAATCTCACCCCAAGGAAGTTCAGTTCAGTTCTGTTCAGTTGCTCAGTCTTGTCCGAATCTTTGCGACCCCATGGACTGTAGCATGCCAGGCTTCCCTGTCCATCACCAACTCTTGGAGCTTGCTCAAGCTCATGTCCATTGAGTCAGTGATGCCATCCAACCATCTCATCCTCTGTCGTCCTCTTCTCCTCCTGCCTTCAATCTTTCCCAGCATCATGTCTTTCCCAGTGAGTCAGTTCTTCACATCAGGTGGCCAAAGTATTGGAGTTTCAGCTTCAGTATCAGTCCTTCCAATGAATATTCAGGACTGATTTCCTTTAGGATTGACTGATTTGATCTCCTTGCAGTCCAAGGGACTCTCAAGAGTCTTCTCCAACACCACAGTTCAAAAGCATCAATTCTTCAGTGCTCGGCTTTCTTTATAGGCCAACTCTCACATCCATACATGACTACTGAAAAAATGCCATCACCTCCACTAGCTTTGTTTGTAGTGATGCTTCCTAAGGTCCACTTAATTTCGCATTTCAGGATGTCTGGTTCTAGGTGAGTGATCACACCATTGTGGTTTTCTGGGTCATGAAGATCTTTTTTGTATAGTTGTTCTGTGTATTCTAGGATTTCCCTGGTGGCTCAAACGGTAAAGTGTCTGACTACAGTGCGGGAGACCTGGGTTTGATCCCTGGGTCGGAAAGATTCCCTGGAGAAGGAAATGGCAACCCACTCCAGTACTTTTGCCTAGAAAATCCCATGGACGGAGGAGCCTAGTGTCCATGGGGTTGCAAAGAGTCAGACACGACTGAGCAACTTCACTTTTCTGTGTATTCTAGCCACCTCTTCTTAATATCTTCTGCTTTTGTTAGGTCCATACCATTTCTGTCCTTTATTGAGCCCATCTTTGCATGAAATGTTCCCTTGGTATCTCTAATTTTCTTGAAGATATCTCTAGTCTTTTCCATTCTATTGTCTTCCTCTATTTCTTGTGCATTGATCACTGAGGAAGGTTTTCTTATCTCTCCTTGCTGTTCCTTGGAACTGTGCATTCAAATATGTGTATCTTTCCTTTTCTCCTTTGCCTTTCACTTCTCTTCTTTTCTCAGCTATTTGTAAGGCCTCGTCAGACAACCATTTTGCCTTTTTGCATTTCTTTTTCTTGGGGATGGTCTTGATCCCTGCCTCCTGTACACTGTCATGAACCTCCAGCCATAGTTCTTCAGGCACTCTGTCAGATCTAATCCCTTGAATCTCTTTGTCCCTTCCACTGTATAATTGTAAGGGATTTGATTTAGATCATGCCTGAGTGGTCTAGTGGTTTTCCCTACTTTCTTCAATTGAAGTCTGATTTTTGCAATAAGGAGTTCATAATCTGAGCCACAGTAATCTCCCAGTCTTGTTTTGGCTGACTGTATAGAGCTTCTCTATCTTCAGCTGCAAAGACTATAATCAATCTGATTGCAGTATTGACCATCTGGTGATGTTCATGTGTAGAGTCTTCTCTTGTGCTGTTGGAAGAGGGTGTTTGCTATGACCAGTCTGTTCTCTTGGCAAAACTCTGTTAGCCTTTGCCCTGCTTCATTCTGTACTCCAAGGCCAAATATGCCTGTTACTCCAGTTATCTCTTGACTTCCTACTTTTGCATTTCAGCCCCTATGATGACAAGGACATCTTTTTTGGGTGTTAGTTCTTAAAGGTCTTGTAGGTCTTCATGGAACTGTTCAATTTCAACTTCTTCAGCATTACTGGTTGAGGCATAGACTTGGATTACTGTGATATTGAATGGTTTGCTTTGGAATTGAACAGAGATCATTCTGTCATTTTTGAGATTGCACCCAAGTACTGTGTTTCAGATTCTTTTGTTGACTACGAGGGCTGCTCCATTTCTTCTAAGGGATTCTTGCCCACAGTAATAGATATAATGGTCATCTGAATTAAATTCACCTATTCCAGTCCATTTGAGTTCAGTGATTCCTAAAATGTCAATGTTCACTCTTGTCATCTCCTGTTTGACCACTTCCAATTTGCCTTGATTCGTGGACCTAATATTCCAGGTTCCTATGCAATATTGCTCTTTACAGCATCAGACTTTACTTCTATCACCAGTCACAAACTGGGCATTGTTTTCACTTTGGCTCTGCCTCTTCATTCTTTCTGGAGTTATTTCTCCACTGATCTCCAGTAGCATATCGGGCACCTACCGACCTGAGGAGTTCATCTTTCAGTGTCCTATCTTTTTGCCTTTTCATACTATTCATGGAGTTCTCGAGGCAAGAATACTGAAGTGGTTTGCCATTCCCTTCTCCAGTGGGCCATGTTTTGTCAGAACTCTTCACCATGACCCATCCAACTTGGGTGGCCCTACACGGCATGGCTCATAGTTTCATTGAATTAGACAAGGCTGTGGTCCATGTGATCAGTTTGTTTTCTGTGATTGTGTTTTTCATTCTGTCAGCCCTCTGAGGGATAAGGATAAGAGGCTTATGGCAGCTTCCTGATGGGAGAGACTGACTGTGGGGGAAACTGGGTCTTGTTCTGATGAGCAGAGCCATACTCAGTAAATCTTTAATTCAATTTTCCGTTTATGGATGGGGCTTTGTTCCCTCCTTGTGGTTTGACCTGAAACCAAACTCTAGTAGAGGTAATGAAGATAATGGCGACCTCCTTCTAAAGGTCCCATGCACACACTGTCGCACCCAGTGCCCCCGACCCTGCCGCAGGCCACTGCTGACCCATGCCTCTACCAGAGACTCCTGGACACTCACAGGAAGTCTGGGCCAGTCTCTCATGGGGTCACTGCTCATCTCTCCCGTCAGTCTGCTCCCGGTTTCAGTATGAACTGTTTCCATGCTTTGTGGCACTCACTGATGCCAGAGGAAAGGTGGACTCAGGGCTTCGGCTGGCGAATTTCTCTGATGGTGGCCAATATGGAAGGTGGGAGCTATAAATACCCACGGACTTGACCAGCTATGGACCCAGAGTGCATGGGTGTACCACAGTCTTTCCCATGTTGAAGACATTTCTGTTTAGTTCCCCAGGACATGTGTGAACCTGGGAGGAAAGAAAACTAACCAGCAGCTTGGAACCCATTCATTATCTTCAATCTTTGCTGAACTCAGGATGATAATAGAATAACAATGTTTAGTTTTATTTGACACAAAGACAAACTATTGCTCCATGTAGAACTAAAAAGGTCGTTCTTTTCTTAAATATACCCAAAAATCTTTTACAACCTATTATAAAAATGTGATATCTTAGTCTGACTTGGCATGCCATTTTGTTTAATGGTCAATGATTTTTAAATTGTTTTCTTAAAAATTTCTTTCCCAGATCCTCAATTTCCCCTGTTTTGTAAGTAGAATTCTATTCTGAGTTAGACTAATAAAGTTTAGAGAGACACTGCCAGAGCATCTATGATATGACTGGCTTCTCCTATGCCAATGCCTAGCTGTTGCTAGGGGAGTATAAGAAAACAGTGGCTACTCATATGTTATTGAACAAACTGTACATAAATTCTGACTCTAACCAGAAAATCAGGTTCTTTATAATACCAGAGTGACTTTCTCACCTGGAACTGGGTACCATATATACTCCATCATGCTGATCTCAATTCTGACATTCAGACTGCAACTGTTTTGCTTGGGAAAAAAGAACTTTATGTATTTGTAAGATGTATACATTATGTATTTACAATCATCAGACTGTATACAAAACCCAGTTTAAGGGTTAGAACATAACTGTCATCATTGAGGACCCCTGCATATTCTGTCCCATTTCATGGCATCACCTTATTCTCTATTACACTTTACCATGAATGCTTGTATCTCTAAGAATTGTATGGCAAATTTGCAGGTGTTTGAGATCTATAAAAGTTGAATTATACTCTGTATTCTTCTGCAACTTTAAAAAAAAATTTGTGAGTTAGAATGGTAGTAAAATATGTTTGACTTTAAATTTAGTACCTTGACTCTTTTCAGAGTGTACAGATCAGCATTATTAAATTGTTGTTTCATCACTAAGTCATGTTCAACTCCTTGTGACCCCATGGACTGCAGCACACCAGGCCTCCCCATCCTCCACTATCTCCTGGAGTTTGCAAAAGTTCATGTCCATTAAGTCAGTGAAGTTATCCAGCCATCTCATCCTCTGCTGCCCTCTTCTCCTTTTGCCTTCAATCTTTCCCAGAATCAGGGTCTTTTCCAATGACTCAGTTCTTCCCATCAGGTGGCCAAAGTATTGGAGTTTCAGCTTCCGCATGAGTCCTTCCAATAAATATTTAGGGATGATTTCCTTTAGGATGGACTGGTTTGATCTCCTTGCAGTCCAAGGGACTCTCCAGAGTCTTCTCAAGAACCACAATTTGAAAGCATCAATTCTTAGGCACTTGGCCTTTTTTTATGACCCACCTCTTACATCTGTATATAACTACTGGAAAAACCATAGCTTTGAGTATATTGACCTTTGTCAGCAAAGTGATGTCTTTGCTTCTTAATACACTGTCTAAGTTTGTCATAGCTCAATAAAATGAGTATTATTAAGTATATTCATATTATTGTGCAATGAATCTCCAACACTTTATCTTGCAAAACTGAAACTGTATACTCATTAAACAACAATTTCCCGTCTCCCTACCCCCAGCTTCAGCTTTCTACTTTCTGTCTCTATGAATCTGACTGTGTTGGATACCTCATATAAGTGAAATTGTACGTTATTTGCCTTTTTGTATCTGGCTTTTTTCACTTAGCATAATATCCTCAGCATTCATCCATGCTGTAGCATGTGTTAGAGTTTCCTTCTTTTTGAAAGCTTAATGCAACTTTCTTTGGATCCACTCAACACTAAACTGTGGACTAAACCATGCTTATATATATAGCTATTGTTTGTTTAATTTTTACTGCAGTATATTGTCCATTATATAACCATTCCATAACTTAGTTACCCACTGTGGTTTTTCTGAACTTCTTGTTTCCAGGATTGGTTGGTTTGTTTATTTTAGAACCAATACCTCTGGAGCAATTTTGCTTGCAGCATCTTGTTCATTTGTATGTACCTGTGCAAGTGTTTTTCTAGAATATAAACCCAGGGAAGTGCTGAGTGATGGAGTACACAATGCTAATTTCACTCGTTATGGCCAAATTGATGTCTAAAATACTTATAAACCAATTTACATTTCTGCATGAGAGTTCTTGCTACTTCATAGCATTGCCAATGCTTGATATGGCCAGAATTTTTAATGTCTACCAATCTAGTGGATATGAAGTGATAGCTCACTGTGGTTTTATTTTGCATTTCCCTAATGGCTAATGAAATTGAAGCATCTTTTTGTATGTGTGACTTGCATATTCAATTTTGGGATCAACAGAGAAGAAATATAAGTCTAGAGAGAAAGAGAGCAGGCATTGTATATCTAAACCTTAACTCTGTAATTGAATATAACTCTGGCAGCTTCCCCTGCCCTGGTGTGAACACTGCCCTTAAATCACTTGACTCACTTATGTCCTTTTGATGCTCACAACATTTGAATGAAAGAAGTCACATGGTCTACTCGGCAGGCCCTGAGAAAGCTCATAGAACTAGAGTTTAACTTCTTTGACTGAGAGATGCCTGTGAATATTTATGCATGTGCATGTGTGTGTGTGAAACATTCTTTTTTTTACAGAAGAACAAATAGACACCTTTATTTACTTACTTTTCAATAAGTTGAAATCCTTGAAGGGTATGGATCACATGAATTCTGTTTCCAGTGGCCTGAAAGTGAAAGTGAAAGTCACTCCGTCCTGCCTGACTCTTTCCAACCCCATGAACTATACAGCCATGGAATTCTCCAGGCCAGAATACTGGAGTGGGTAGCCTTTCCCTTCTCCAGGGGATCTTCCCAACCCAGGGATCGAACCCAGGTCTCCCACATTGCAGGTGGATTCTTTACCAACTGAGCCACAAGGCAAGTCCAAGAATACTGGAGTGGGTAGCCTATACCTTCTTCAGAGGATCTTCACGTCCCAGGAATCGAACCAGGATCTCCTGCACCGCAGGTGGATTCTTTACCAACTGAACAATCAGGGAAGCCCAGTGGGCTCATTAGGACAGTTGCTTCAGACTTTGACACTAACCATGTCACTGTTTCCATGAACACGAATTACATTTCCCCAGATTACTCTCGTTTTGTCTGGTTTGCTGCTAGGATATGTATTGTAAAACACACACATGCATCCACACAGAAAAATACCACATATCACAGTAAAACAAAAATTAAATTTACTAGGTTCATGATATGTTTGATATTTTTTGCTCTAGTTTTTTTCTAGTCTTCTTTCTTTCCCTCTTCTCTTCCCTCCTTTGTTCGTTCCTTCCTTCCTCACTGGCACCAGCTAAATAGATTTCACAATATACAACTGTGGTGGTTCTCAGTGTGGACAGGGAATATTTTGGATATTTTTGAAAATATTTATTTATCTATTTGGCTGCACGGGGTCTTAGTCGCGGCACTCAGAATCTTCAGTCGTTGTTGGGGCATGTGGGATTTTAGTTGCGGCATACAAACTCTTGGTTGCAGCATATGGGGTCTAGTTCCTTGACCAGGGATTGAACCTGGGCCCCCTGCATTGGGAGCAGGGAGTCTTAGCCATTGGACCGCCATGGACGTCCCTATTTGGGATACATGTGAAGGTGTTCAGGGCATTTACTGGCCAGGAATCAGAGATGTGATGTATGGCTTATTCCCAAACAATGAAGCATTTTTCCTTGTCTCTCAAAACTTTTGATATTGCTACAGATGATCATTGGATATTCACTAAATTTTAAAAGATTGTTAACCTGAGAAAGAGCTTCCTTTCACCAAGTACATTTTGCATAGGTAGAGTCTATAATATGTACTTCTGTTAAAAGGCTAATGTCAGTCTGTCCTATAAAATAGTGATCTGTCACTTGCTGAAATGGAAGATCCTTGAAGGCAGGAGTGATGTAACATTCATCAGGGTAATGTCTACGAGGGGTCAGCAGAGAGCCTTGTGTCTAGGAGTTAAGGTGGAAATGTAGAGAGAGATGAGTGTGAAGGCAGTAGTTAGAGAAAGACTTGATTTAAATTCAAGTCATATCCTGTCTGTTGTGAACAAGGATAAATTATGAAGCTTCTCTAACTATCCATCAATCACTTGCAAAATTGATAAGACAAAAACAAACTTTCTGTGGAGAGTAAGTAAAATCATGTTTGTAAAAGTGCGTATAGTAGGTGCTCAAAGTATCATAGGTATTATGACTTTAATAAGTGTTTTTCCTTTAATTATTTTCATTTAATAAGTGTTTGTTCCATTGACCTTGACCCATCTTGTTTGAATACGTTTATTTAACCCTAATAATAAGCTCTGAATGTTGAGCTGTAAGCCAACTTTTTCACTCTCCTTTTTCACTTTCCTCAAGAGGCTTTTTAGTTTCTCTTCACTTTCTGCCATAAGGGTGGTGTCAGCTGCATATCTGAGGTTATTGATATTTCTGCCAGCAATCTTGATTCCGGCTTGTGCTTCTTCCAGCCCAGCGTTCTCATGAGGTACTCTGCATAAAAATTAAATAAGTAGGGTGACAATATACTTGAGGTACTCCTTTTCCTATTTGGAACCAGTCTGTTGTTCCATGTCCAGTTCTAACTGTTGCTTCCTGACCTGCATACAGGTTTCTCAAGCTCAGCATTCAGAAAACTAAGATCATGGCATCTGGTCCCATCACTTCATGGGAAATAGATGGGGAAACAGTGCAAACAGTGTCAGACTTTTGGGAGGGATTGTGGGCAGGAGGAGAAGAGGATGACAGAGGATGAGATGGCTGGATGGCATCACTGACTCGATGGACATGGGTTTGGGTAGACTCCGGGAGTTGGTGATGGACAGGGAGGCCTGATGTGCTGTGATTCATGGGGTCGCAAAGAATTGGACACGACTGAGCGACTGAACTGAACTGAACTGAACTGAACTGAATAATAAGCTCTAACATTCATTGAGTGCTTGTTTTGTGTCCAACATGAAGCTTCACAGGGTTGCTTTCCTAAGGTTAATATTTGCTACAATCCTCCTGTAAGGTAATTATAATTTAAGAACATTTACATGAAATCCAAAAAAGAGGGGATATGTTTGTACAAATAGGTTCACTGTGCTGCACAGCAGAAAATAACACAACATTGTAAAGCAAGTATATTCCAATTAAAAAAAAAAAAAGAAAAAAAATTTATATAAAAAGAGGCTAGGTAACCTGTTCAAGATAGCAGTGTAAGAAGGAATGAAGCAAGGGTTTAAACTAAGGAAGTCTCATGTCAACATCTATATCTTAGCCATTTTGCTGTTGTTTGCTAATATAAAGAACTTTAGAAAATACCCCATAATACGGTGTTTGCCTTAACAGGTTTCAAGTTGACAAATTGTTGATACTGTTCTCCAGAAAATAAAGTTTACTGGTATAAAGCAGGAAGTGAGGCCTGAGCCCAGGGACACAAACATAAGAAAGTATATAAAAATGCTGCAAGATAACTTATGTTGGAAATCAAACATTTAGCTCCAAAACTTAACGACTTAGAGAGCTGAATCTGTTATGGAGTCTTGTTTCTCTAGTTGTGCCTTTTCGTTACTTAACTAAAAACTGAAATATTAAAGAGCTAGCTCACTTAGGTGTGAATGCAGACTCAACCCTGAAGGTAAACTTTCAGCAAGAATATGGAACTTCTGTATTGAGTCTAGCATGAGGTACATTGCTGGTCAGCCCAACATTTATCTCAGCTCCCTGTGTGTTGGTCAGCAGTTGTCTGACACGCAGCCATGAAGGAGCTGTATTTTTAACCACAGCTCAGTATCAAATGGGCTTCCCTCATAGCTCAGTTGGTAAAGAATCTGACTGCAATGCAGGAGACTCCGGTTCAATTCCTGGGTCAGGAAGATCCATTGGAGAAGGGATAGGCTACCCACTACAGTATTCTTGGGCTTCCTTTGTGGCTCAGCTGGTAAAGAATCTGCCTGCAATGCGGGAGACCTGGGTTCGATCCCTGGGTTGAGAAAATCCCCTGGAGAAGGGAACGGCTACCCACTCCGGTATTCTTGCCTGGAGAATTCCATGGGCTGTATAGTCCATGGGTCACAAAGAGTCGGAAACGATGGAGTGACTTTCACGTCACATCAGTATCAAATACAAGCCTCTCCTCTCATGGAGATGGAATGAGAAGTCTGGATGGGTAGACATGAACACATGAGCACTAGACTGGAAACATAGTTCAAAGTACCTTGCCCTCCTGAGGTGAAGTCAGATGAAACTTCTTGTTTGCCACATACTCTTTACATATGATGAATCATGCAAGAGTTTGAGAAGGAGCCATGCTGAGCTACTGAAACAGTTCATAGCAGGACTTAAGAGGCAGCATCAAATAGCAGGCAACTGGATGCATTACACAGTCCCGTAATTAGACCATCAATATGACAAAAGTGTTGTGGCAATATAATTGTGCTAAGAATGACACGTGAGTGGCCACTGAAGCACAGGAAAGTTAAGACAGGAGAAATACTCAACAGAGTCGAGGTCTGGATATAGCTGCAGGACTGCCCTACTGATCTGACAAAAGGGTCTGAGTTCATTTCATCAGAGGGCATAAGTGGTCCATTGTTGTTGAATCAGTCGCTGAGTCGTACCTGACTCTTTGTGATCTCATGAGCTGCAGCACTTGTCTTCCCTGTCCTTCACTATCTCCCAGAGCTTGCTCAAACTCATGTCCGTTAAGTCGGTGATGCCATCCAATCATCTCATCCTCTGTCGCCCCTTCTCCTCCTGCCCTCAATCTTTCCTAGCATCAGGGTTTTTTCCAATCAGTCAGCTCTTCGCATCAGGTGGCCAAACTGTTAGAGCTGAGTGGTCGGTAGATTGGAGGATATTGTGGAAAGAAAATGATAGCAGAACAGCCAAGGGAAAGACTGAAGCGGTGCAAGAAAGAGAAAGCTGTGAGAGGCTGGAGAGCGGTCAAGGGCAGAGTGTTAATGACAGAAGAGTTCTTAAAGGAGGGAGGAACAGTTGGGATTGGAGTTAGTTAAAAATGAAAACTTTTAAACTCCTTTGTACCATTGTGAAAGAATATACCACTCTGAAATAATGTTCCCCTTTTATCCTCAGGGAGTATTTTCCCCAACCCCCAGTGATGAACCTGATCTTGGACCCTGCAGTGGCTTGTAGCAGGGTTTCAGTTCCCAGTCAGAGATTGAGGTGGACTGTGGCAGTGAGAGCACTGAATTGCAGCCACTAGATCAGTGGTCAGTGACAAGGCCCTAGCCTTTTGGCTTTGCAGAAAAGAATTCCCATGAAGACAGGAAGTAGGGAAACAAGTAAAGTGTTTATTAGGAGGAAAAAGAATGCCGTATGTGTGGACAGACACATGGGCTGGCTTATAGACAGAATCATGCCCTGGTGGCAGTTTAAATCACTTTTACAGGGCATTTCTTCCAGGTTTTCCTTCAGTCAGTCATCTTGATTTGCCTAGGTCAGAGTTCAAACTTGGTGTATCTCAGGATCCTCCCATGCCTGCACACACATCTCTCAGCCCAGGTGGATTCCCCTGAAGAGGCTTGTGGGTACACTTAGCATCACTCCCCTTGTGATCTCCTGGGAGCCTTTCTGTGCGTGTGTAGTCAGGGAGGTCTCCTGACTTTAAGAATGAGAAATATGTGGTCTCTTATCTTCTATCTGGGCAGGGCCCAGCCTCCTCTCTCAATTGTCCTGCTATTCTCATCTTGGAATATTGGTCCACAGCAAACAAAATCCCCAACTGCTTACCCTGGGGCAGTGTGAGGCCCATCTACCTCCTGCCAGAAAACCATGGATAGTACCAAACCCTATATATGCTACATTTTTTTTTCCTAATTATACCTTTGATAAAGTTTAATTTATATATTAGACACAAGAGATTAGTAACAGTAACTAATAATAAAATAGTAGTTATAGCCACATACTGTAATAAAAGTTATGTGAATGTGAGCTCTCAAAATACCTTACTGTACGGGTTTAATGCCTGTTCTATCTTAACTCAGCCCTTATCACTTAGCACGGTCTATCTTCTGCAGTATGAAGTGTGACAGCAAAATGAGCACAGATTTCCTTTTTTGTTAGTAATTTCAGTTAAAAGAGTCGTTCTTCCTGTAGATGTTAGCAAGCTCAGCGTACAAAAGGGTCTTTGAGCTCATTTCACCCTTTCTCTTAGAAACACTTTGCAGCTTCTCTTTGGCATCATCCACATTGTCAGCATCTCTACTCTGGTGCTTTGGGGCCATTATTAAGTGAAGTGAGGGTCAGTTAAACCCAAGCACTACAGTTCCATGACAGTGAACCTGATAACCGAGGTGGCTACTGAGGGATTTATGGGCAGGATATGCAGGACAAAGGGATGATTCAAGTCCTGGGCTGGATGGAGCCAGAAGGAGGAGGTTTCATCACCTTATTCAGAACGGTGCATGGCTTAAAGCTTATGAACTGTTTATTTCTGGAATTTTTTATTTAATGTTTTTGGACCATGGTTGACTTGGGTATCTGAAACCACAGAAAGCAAAATCACGGATGAGGGAGGAATAATACTGTACGTGGGTAGGAAAATGAAGTCTTCCAAGATCTGTCTGGAAGATGAGTTTGTTACAAGTCCACACAAATACCAGAAATGGGGATGAAAACAAGGAAATCAATCTTTCATCTTTTTAGTTTGTTGTTAATTGATAAAATTAAGTGAATTAATTGCCTTTTCCTTAAAACTCACACATTGCGAACTTACTAGTTTCTATCAAGTATGCGTGATTCTTTGATGGATATTAGAAAAGAATCTGAAAACCTAGTCCTGGGGCTTGGGGACAGGTGCATGGTGCTTCCCTTAAATTAAATGAGGGGAAAATGACTCATAAACAGTCAGCCACCTATCTTCAGATTATCAAGGGTTGGCAGACTAATTTGCTTAACAACAGCTTGAAGTTCTTGTGCTGGAACATACAAATTCATCACCATGTAGCTCTTGAAGGAGAATGTTTCCATGTAGGGAAGCAAAGTTTACCACCCTAATATATGTCTCTTTGGCATGATAATTAAATTACGTTGATCATTTTTAAGAAGACTCAGGAAGTCTTTCTTGTCACCTGCCCCTTAGCTGCCTGAAGAATTTAGATAAAGGGATTGTTCCCAGAATGGAGCTATCACCTGAGGTATCTGCAAAGAATATAGGCTCAGTGCTTTTCCATCTCCATGCAAATTAGCTTCCTCCCCTTTAGTGTCCCAAAGCACCATGTCCAGTGTCTTCTTTTGTCTTTAGCTAAAGATGGCATTTAAAGTGAGCGTTTTGGCCATTTGAGGGAGTTACTCAGCTCTCCTTCATCATGTTATTAAACTTTTGTTTGATTTTCTCCTCTTAATCTGTCTTATGTCAATTTAATTCTTAGACCAGCCAGAAGAACTTGGAAGGATAGAGGAAGATTTCTTCCTCCCCAGCACTATATATGGGCTTCACTTGTGACTCAGCTGGTAAAGAATCTGCCTGCAATGCGGGAGACCTGGGTTTGATCCCTGGATTGGGAAGATCCCCAGGAGAAGGGGCTACCCACTCCAGTATTCTGGCCTGGAGAATTCCATGGACTGTATAGTCCATGGGGTGGCAAAGAGTTGGACACAACTGAACAACTTCCACTTCACTTCAGCACTGTATATACTGAAATATTTTTGTTCAGCCCCTCTCTATCCATGACTAACAGTAGCCTAGAGAGTTCTACAAAGTGGAAGATTTACTTGTATTAGTCTTTGATGTGATGATGAGGCATCATTATGCTTTCAAAGGGTATGCCAAGTGTAAATGCAATTGGTTTTTAAAAGATTTTAATATCAGAGAGAAAGTATTGGATATGTATTGCCTGGAATGGTATCAGAAACATAATGGGTGCTCTGAGACATTTGATGACTGCATTGAAATAAGAATGGGTTACCTCAGCAGTAGTCCAGATATTTCATAGTGCTACCATGTTAGATATTAATCACATGATCTCAACAGATACCTGAAATAGCCATAAATAGTATTTATGGAGCATGTTATATTTGGCAAAGCTTTTCTTATATATATATATTTGTCAGGATAGGCTAGGTTTTATCATACTTATGAGTGTCCAAAATTTTTTTAGCATAACACAGCAAAAGTTCATGTCTCATACTTGCAAAGTCAGCTTCAGGGGGAAGTGTTTCTCTCCTGGGTCAGGAGTGCTTTTGCTCGGGGTACTTTAGTGTCAATGGGCTGCTGAAACTGCATAACTCAGACTGGAACTAGAACCAGTGGACTGGGACTCAAACCCAGCCAAAATCCAGGTTAGAGTTCGAACCTGTGGTCTTTTAATTGAGATCACACACCTGGTCTTAGGACTTAATGAAGCTCAGGTTCTTTCTGTATCTTTATAGAAAGAATTCAGTGAGAAACAAAGTGCTAGGTAAGAAGTGGACTTATTTAGAGAGATACACATTCCATAGACAGAATGCATGTTCGGTCCATCTCAAAAGTGGCCCAGGGGGATGGGGTCATTTTGGAAAGTGAGAGTAACCTTGGGATAAACACCCCACAGACAGTGTGGGCCATCTCAGAAGTAAGAGACCCTGAAGTATGAGGTGGTTAATTTTTATAGGCTGGGTAATTTCATATGATAATGAATGGGAGGATTATTCCAACTACTTTGAGGAAAGGCCAGGGATTTCCAGAAATTGCATCATTGCCCCCTTCTTGTCCTTTTATGGTCAGCCTCAGAACTGTCATGGAGCCTGTGGGTGTGTCGTTTAGATGCTAGTGTAGTACAGTGAACTCGTAATGAGGCTCAAGGTCCACTGGAAGTGAATCTCTGGCCGTTTTGGACCCAGTTGGTTCTAACCAATTTCTGCCACATCCTCAACAGCTGTCGTTTTGTTAAAGACTGTGCTCTGCTCCTTTCCCCGCTTCACTGACAGAGTCATCACAGCAAGGAAAGGAAATATGGGGGAAAAAAATCATGTATTGGCTCTTAACTGCTCTCCTGGAAATGATATATGTCCCTTCTGCTCAAATTGCACTGGTCCGAAGAAGTCATATGACCACGTCCAAGCCCGTGGGAGTGGGAGCAGGCATGTGCAATCCTGTTGTTACTGCACCAAACTTGGGTCCTCTCTCTGGACACCTGGCAAAGCCAGTCTCCTGATACCTGATTTCAGTGAAGGGAATTACAGCATTCATTTCAGGGCACCAAAAGACCCAAGCTCCCCAGTGGCTCTCAGGCAAGGGTTTTTAAAGGCAACACTGGGGTGAGGGTTGTAGGGTGTGTGATCAGCTCCACCTCCTTTCTAATTGGTTGGTGGTGAGGTAACAGGGTGGTGTTTTGGGAATCTTAATCATCAGTTTTCTGGTTCCAACCAATCTGTAGTCTGTGTGCTTGTGGTCAGCATATGGTCACCATCCTCTGCCTGGGTGGGAGTCTTAGTTCCTGCAGAAGAACTTGAAGAAGTGCATCAGATTGTTATGTGTATCTGTGGAGGAGGAATGGGGAGTTCTGTGACTTGTTTTATTACTCAACTCTTGTTTAAACTA